CGATGTTTATGAGGGGGAATGATACGGTAAAGTTTGCTTTCATACATATATTAAATGTGATGAACTAATATTTGAAGACGGGACTTACAATACAAACCTTTGTGTTTGCGATGTCATTGTATCCCGAGGTGCAGAAGAAGACACAAGAAATCGATAATATCCTTGGTTTCCAGCGACTTCCCGAAGTTGCAGATATACTCTACCATACGTGATGGGTATTTGCAAGGAAACCTTACGATGACATCCTCTGCTACCCAGCGGTTTGCCACATGTGGCTTCCGAAGACGCCGTGGTACAAGGCTACTTTATTCCTAAAGGGACAATTATATTAGGCAACGCGTGGTACGATTCTCATGCGAAAATATACCCCTTAGAGCTGAAAATGAATTTTTACACCTAGGGCACTCCTCCATTCAAGTTGGTTTCAAGCTCATGTCCATATGTAACAGTGTAATAGTACCATCTTTGAATGTGTTTGGTATTGATTTGATATCTAGTGGTGCGTTCTCTTCTGTTCTTATCCAGGTTCGTACATCACAGTGCAGAGTGGAGCAGGGGAGGAAAAACGGCATGACTTAAGCAGGTCAGGTCGTCACACTGCTCAGGTACGCACACCACAGCCACATACTGCCAAGAACTTTCTTGGAAGATGTGATTGTCAATCAGCGACTATACTTCCAAGCATCTCATTCGTTCTTCAGATGGTTCTGGTGCCGTTGTTGACAAGCTGGTTCATTTGCGACGTATTTGCGAAAATTCAACAGGCCCAATGACTGGATCAGAATTTGAGCTCGACGTGGAGAAAGTTCTTCAAACTGGTAATGTTCAATTGTTTTTTACAATTTCTTGATGAATTAATCCACTCTAATCGCAGCAGTCCCCAAATCCTGCAAGTAAGGTGCTTTTAGCTGAAGAAACCGTGACTCCCACAATGAGGAGAGTGTCAGGGGACAACCTTAGATTTCCGTTCGGAACCTTCCCACCCAGAATCATTCCCAATGTCAACAACTCCCAGGGAGCATTTCCACGTGGGATTCCCCAGCAACACGTTCGTTGACTCCTGTGGCCAGAGAGCAGGAGGTGGGGCTGGAGGCAGTGGGCGCCACATGGGTAGCACGTGAGGGCGGGGCAGTTAGCACTGGTCAACCGTCAGGTATCTTTCATCGTATTTCCGTTTGTTTCCGTTCCCATTGTTTCCATTGATCATCTATTCACTTCCCCCTTCATTGTTTCTGTTCTTATTATGTTCATTGTCATTTATTCCCTTTGCATTGATAGCTACAGCTCCCACTCGGTATTTAGTGAGCTCACTCTGGCAGAGGCAATCCAAGACTTTCTCTTTGGATTTCCCCTCTGCTAGGTGAGATTCCCTTTGTGTGTATCTATTTCTTTATTTTGTCTACTTATATATCTTTGGATTTTCCCTCTGCTAGCTCTGCATGACATCCGCACAGCTCCAAAGGTTGCCCTTACAGAGAGCCGGGTTGAGTGAATTGACACCAAAACAGGATGTAAATATACACAGAATAAAACACAGAAATGAACGCAGAATAAAACGCAGAATCTGAACAAAGGATATGACATGATAAAACAGGGAAGAAGAAAAGATAGAACGAGTTGTACATTGGAAAAAAAGAATCAACAAGCCATTGGTTGAGAGCATGGGGGAGTTACGACGACGCATACATGTACAATTCGACACAGGAAAAGTAGGGAGAGTAACACACAGGAAAAACAGGGCAGGCGTGTGAAAGGGCGAACACGAATAGAATAAATCACTGTCGGAGAGAATTAGCACAGGAGGGAACAGGAGCGGCTTGTGAGTATCTGACGGAGAGAGTCAGCACTGGGGGAGAAATGCTGTGCTCTCTTGTGCCTCTAAATATAATGTCAGTACAGTGATATGATATGAAGAAAAAGGTCTTCTGACTCCCCTAAGGAGGCAGCGTGTCATGGGGGCCAGAGCCTCTGCACATGAGACGTGCTAGCCTGATGCTCTGCTAAACTGTCATTAGACAGCGACAGCACGAGCGAGGTGAGTGGGGGAGCTTGACCTCCGCTGTCGGATTGACGAGGATTACGCTTCATTAGACGATCTTAATATAAATAATTAAATTTCGATTAAACGTCAGCTGTTCAGTCTCGGTGACAAATTTCCTTGGTAAGATTTATAGCTCATGATCTTGTACCAGCCATACTGCCACCCTGATCTGCTTCTATTCTCGCCTGGCTCAACGTCGCTTGCACCGATAACGTACTATTATTCTAATGCCAACATGACTGGCGTTTTCTCGTCCCACCTGGCCACACTAAACCTTTACCCAAAAGTCTTTATAATCCGTCATGAATACAAGATATTGTTTTTAGGCTGAAACTTCAATCCAAAATTGATCTCCAAACTATGTTACAATTAAGCTTTGTAACATTTGCCTTCCTGGGATCAGACTCAACGTATATCTCGTTGCAGGTGGTACAGCCGGTTCAGTCATCGCCAACCGCCTGACGGAGGAGCCCAGATTCACTGTTCTCCCCATCGAGGCAGGACCAAAGTAGTTCGAGGTTTCAAATACTTGGTCATCATTCTGATTTATTCCTTCTCATTGAACTTTAAAGTAATAAAGGAGTCCTAGATATAGAGGTGCCGGCGTTTAGTGGTCGGCTCACCAATAGCCCATACGACTGGAATTTCACGACCGTGCCTCAGGTCGGTCTCAACGGGAGGTCACTGCCATATACGCGAGGCCATGTTTTAGGTGGAAGTAGTTCAATAAGTACAAGTTCAGCTGCGAATCTGGTCTGCTACATTTTCTGATGCTTTATAATCTAGATGGCATGGTGTTTACTCGAGGATCATCCGATGATTATGATCGCTGGGCAAAATTACTGGGGATAATGGTTGGTCCTGGAATGCACTTCGTCCGTATCTCCTTAAGGTACATCATCTTTACTCCCTGTCTATTCCGCATATTATAACTGGTGAGAACTCAGAACGAGCATTGGGTTCCCCCGGTAGACGCCCATAATACAACCGGGGAATTCGATCCCGGTGCACATGGATTTAATGGAGTGAACTATGTCAGTCTTGGCTCTTATCTCGGATCTATCGATGACAGAGTAATCCAGACCACCGTTGATTTGAAAAATGAATTTCCCTACAATCTTGATATGAATGATGGAAATTTTCTCGGCGTCGGTGAGTATTATTTCTCATCCAACATATAGTAGCTCATTCAGCTATTATATAGGATTTATGCAATCAACGATTGGATTTGGAGAAAGAAGTAGTGCTGCCGGGTCGTATTTAGCTTCAAATTTTGGACAGCGTGCCAATCTCCACATCCTAACGGATATGACTGTCACTCCACTGGGCTTGGTGTTCGGCCAGATTTCAGAATAGTTGAATTGGCCTCAAGCTCAACAGGTAGTTTATTGGTAAATATACCTAAGTCTTTCTCTGACAATTTATAGGGCCAAGAACGCGCTTCACAGCAGCTAATGAAGTCATCCTTTCCGCCGGATCGATCGCTACCCCACAGATTCTCCTCAATTCTGGTATCGGTGACAAGTTTGAATTGGCAAAAGTCGGAGTGTAGTCCGTTGTTCATCTACCAGATGTTGGTAAAAACCTCAGTGATCAGCCTGTCACGTCCGCGGCATGGTCTACCAATGATCCGGATCCTGGTCTGCAGGTGTAAGTGTCTGTCTTCCTTTAGCAACCATTTTCAAGATTTTAAATACGATGTGTAGCTGGCAGCATAACGCAACCATATTAGATGAAGTTTTTAAACAATGGAATGCAACGAGAACTGGACCCCTTGTTGTACAATTCCCTAGACAGGAGACTGCTTGGTGGCGTGTTCCGACCAATACTCCTGGATTCAAAGATTCCTCTGCTGGCCCCAAGTCACCTCATATTGAGATTGCTCTTGGAGTAAGTCATTTTTGGCCTCGGTTTATATATGGCCTCGGTTTATATATGGCCTCATAGGCAATCTATATAGGGCAGCAGAGGTAGTGTCTCTGGAGCAGTGGTTCTTGTTTTCCCTTTATCCAGGAAGTTACATACAGTCTCGATTCGCCTTACATATTACTCCCTAACGTAGTATTTAGGAGGAAGCGTAACATTAAAGTCTAATAACCCATTTGATGCACCTCTCATCGACGTTGCATACCTGACCAACGAGAACGACGTCTTCGCCTTGCGTGAAGGCATTAAAGCCACGAAACGATTTTTCGGCGGTCCAGTGTGGAAAGATCTCATCATCGGGGAAACCTTGCCTGGTGCCAATGTGACAAAGGATGATGAACTCACTGAGTATATTCATAATGGTGTTGGCACGACTCTCCATGCTGTTGGAACTGCGGCTATGTCTGCCAGAGGTGCAAGCTATGGAGTTGTTGATCCTGATTTGCGAGTCAAAGGCATCTCGGGATTACGAATTGTAGATGCCTCAATCATGGTGAGCCCTTACTCTATTTCTGTCAAATATGTACAACTTATACTGGATCTCAGCCATTTGTTATTTCTGGTCATACGCAAGCTGGTGTTTATCTTATTGCAGAGCGTGGTGCAGATCTCATAAAATTTGCATGGGTTTAATTTGAAGTGGAAAGGATTTGCAGGTGTAAACTTAACCTGAAGAACAAATAGATTTCCTTCCAGATATTTTCTAACTTTCAGAATGGAGTGAAGTTATAATCAATTCATGGTAACAAAGCTCCATATCTTGCCTCAGTCTTCATTGGCTTCGCATTCAGGGTATTATTGACTGGAGAAAATACTAAGAGATACTTAAAAGAATTTCTGAGACCTATTAAATGTCATCACCATACTTTGTCATTGTGATTTATGAATGGTGAGCATATCGAGCATTCCTTTTATAGTGTATATACAGCGAGTTCATTATAATCCCAAAGGTTATTCTTTGCAGGTTAAGGTGGCATGACAGTGGCTCTGGGCTTCGCAAGTTGGTGTAATTACTGTCAAAAAATGAGAAAAAGGGCCTGGCCAGGAATTGAACCCGGGACCTCCTCCAGATGAGTCAAGAACGCTAAGAAGGAATCATACCTCTAGACCACCACACTGATGACAAAGCAGAAATGTCAGTATTACACATGCATAACACATATTGACTCAATGTAAACTGCTAGTGATAGCTTTTCCGTTTCTGGAAGTATCTTTATGCACTGTACTAAGGCATAGGTTCAACCTACATATCAAACTACTGATGTTTTTCACATGGTGTCAATCATCAATCATGCTGAAGTTGATGAAACATGTACATCACGGTGATCGTCTAGCGGAATTAACTTGAACTCTCCAAGAATAAACATATCCCAGACTTTCATACAATTTATTCTTTATAAAATTCACTCCAAGCACATCAGCTCGAAAATATTCATAATTTCTTGAATGACAGTGGAGATGAAGATGAAAACCATTTTGCCAGTCAAATTATAAGTCACGGCGGTAAGTATGCCCAGACAGATTATCAGTGTAAAATTACAGAAAAAATCGTGTGGCCTTCGTAATCCATCTATGACACTTTTTCTTAAATATTTGAGGAAGATATTGTTAGGATAAGGCTTCATACGACTTCTATGGCTGCAGGGCAGCATATATGCAGTGGTCTGAGACTGCGTACTTTTACATCTGTTTTTACCATTCACTTTTGACTCATTTCATTCAACGGACACATCTAGTTTACATGTACACGTCGGGACTCTGTGGATTCGGGTCCTGCCACCTGTAAAACTTTTATTCTCCCATCGAGACTCCCTACATTGTCACTCACTATTGTGTCTGACTGCTAGTTCTGTCTATTTACAGACATTCGCTGTGCGCAAGCTGTTACAGGACTCCAGGCGAGCCCCTCGGCCCTCCAAAGGTCAAGCGGAGCTTCAAGTCAGAGGTGCTTGTGCCGAGGCTACGTGGGGCCCTAAATTCTGACTCAGGCAGAACTCCATGGTGACTCCAAACACACTCTGCATGTTTTTTTCACACTCCTCAGCCTACCTCTCGACGTCTTAGAATCAATCATAGATGAAATACCGACTCCTTCCATCAAGAAAAAGTGTTGGGCGCTTGTAGTATGGGCCGGAGTACGGGTGATGGTGCGTAGTCTCAAAACATCATTTATCAACTGGTATCTAATACATAGTCACCATCGCAGAGCTGGAACATTCGCCTACTGATTTGGGAGTTATAGAAGAATTTGGCACACTTGTCCATAACATTATCCTGACTCCTGGTATGGAATTCCTTTTCATGTTTTTTGGAACCGGGTTTACCGAAATTGGGGGTTAGATAGCAGCTACACCGGATTGAAGCAATGTTCACAACTTCTGCCTGTCGATGGCCATTCACTCTCATGGAATGTGATACTTGGGACATTCTCAGAGGCATATCCGATGTGCTGAAGGAGCAAAACCATTCGACGTAGGCTAGGGTGTCATGGCAGTGGAACCAAGGAGGGAGACAGAAGATGACATGGACACGAGCAGCACAATGACCTGGACTGATAGGGTGAGAATTTGCGATCAATATAGTGCTTTATAATACTGACCTTCTGGGCTGACTTTGTCTGCAACTTGATTGACATGTATGAGGATGGTATCAAAGTGTGCTGGTTCTGGATGTTTTGATATTGAGGAGTGGCACGGATGATTTCTCGTGTGGTTTCATTGGTGAGCCGTTGCAATGAGGGTAGATCTATGGTAATTCACTTATATACATCAATCAGGTCAGTTTTGGAGGGTTGGACAATGTTGTGAGGGGCGTGCTTCTGAAGATACACAGATAATGCTGGGACAATCAGTGATGATCTTGCTTGTGGGTTTTCGTGGCCATAATGGAGACTTTGCAATGCACCAGCTCTGGCTGGGGTAGGACAGTACTGGTACATTATCTTCATCCTTGTCATGTTCTAGAAGATTCATGTTCTGCTGCTTAGGTTCCTTGTCATCTTTGTCCTGCTCATCATCATTTTCCATGTCATCTACTTCCTCAATTGCTTGGGTCCATACGAGAAACAACATGAAATGATCCAATGCTTCATGCAGAGTTAGATAATGCACCATCTGTTTCGTGTAATTCTTCTTGTTGCTAGCACGATATCCCTGCTTTGCACAATCAATATGTAACCATTCTGAGAGCTCAGTATTGAACCCATCTGTGGAGCCCTTTGAATGGATAAGATCAATGTAGTGTTCCATAGCATGGATCTTTGGGATGTGAAAATGTTGGTGTCACAAGAGACACCCATTATTTTTGACTGTGCGAAATGCTTTAGCAGAAGTGCTATTTTAGTCTGAGAGAAAATCTATTGATATTTAGGAATTTCATGCTAACAGAAATGCTGGAGGAAAGTTAGATTTTATAAGTTTTGAAATGACAAACAAATTTATAAATTATACAAGAAATAAATCCTATCCAGAATCCATATCTTTTCATTTTGACTTAGAGAAAACCCAAATTTTTGCTATCCAGAAGTCAAGACTAAATATGAATTTTAGAGAATGCTTTTATGGTAATTAAATGTCAGATTTTAGCTTGGTCAGAAATTTTTGCTAAAATCTGAAAGGTGGGTGATTACAACTTACATTGAAAGATGTAATAACTGGTGTCCAAATTTCAGAATTTCATCTAAGAAGATTTAGGAATTTTGTGCCAACAGAAATGTCAGATGAAAGTTAGATTTTATAAGTATCAAAACGATAAACAATTTTATAATCAGATATTAGCAATGACTTTTGACCAAGCTAAAATCTGACTTTCGTTTACCATAAAGGCATTCTCTAAAATCCATATTTAGTCTTGACTTCTGGATAGCCATAATTTGGGTTTTCTCTAAGTCAAAATGAAAAGATATGGAGTCTGGATAGGGTTTATTTCATGTATAATTTATAAATTTGTTTATCATTTCAACACTTATAAAATCTAACTTTCCTCCAACATTTCTGTCAGTACGAAATTCCTAAATCTCATTAGATGAAATTCTGAAATGTGGACACCAGTTATTACATCTTTCAGTTCAAATTGTGATCATTCACCTTTTGGATTTTAGCAAAGACTTTTGACCAAGCTAAAATCTAACTTTCCTTCAGCATTTCTGTCAGCATGAAAGTCCTAAATCATATTAGATTTTCTCTCAGACTAAAACAGCAATTTTGCTAAAGCATTTTGCACAGTTGAAAAGAATGGATGTCTCTTGTGTGTGTCCCATACTGAATAAAAACTTCTTTATATTTGTGGAATGTGCATAAAGCATCCTAAATCCTCCACAGGGTTTCTGATGATTGGGAAGGAAACGAAGCATAATAGATAAAATCTATGACAGCTCGAGCAACAGTCGTAACCTTGCTATGAGCAGCTCCACAGATAAGGCTAGCAAAAACTTTTTGCATCTCCTTATGCTCTCGACCGGTCCATTGTGAAATTGAGGAAATCCCCTTTTTGAAATGGCGCAGGGATGGATGACTAGGCATTTTCTGAAAGTGTTGGTCAACCTCTTGCTTGCCAGCCAGCTCCATGCACCATTTGACAAGGTGATCTTTAAATACACCTTTATGGAGTTGGTGCAAGAGGTCCGGTGTAAAGCAAGAGAATATGTTGACGTGTGGAAGATTCTCCCAGAAGGGTTGTGGAACTGGACGCAGCCCCAGAGTTTTGTATTCAGGCGAAACAGCCTCCTTGTTGACTGACTTCAAAGCAGCCAGTGTTGTATCAATGTCTCGGATAGGATATTGAATGGCTTCTCCATGCTGATCTGGAGGGACTTGACATATTGGGCAGCTGTTCTCCTTGACACAGGCAATGAGACATTGCTCCGGGTAATCTGCCACATATGCAGCAAGAATCGGGAACACGCGACGGATACAGCCATCAGCACATGTCATGAGCACGCCATTCTTGCCAGCCTTGATGAGTGGTTTGAACATCTTGGATATGCAAGTATGAAAAAGGCGATAAGTGACTCCTTGTCTGGCCTTCTCACTGAGACATTCCAGCTTTGTCACAGGCAAATAACCAAGCAACACAACTGCGTGTTTAGAAGGCTTATTTTGTATGTCTTTGGAAATGTTTCCAATTGTAAGATAAACTGGCCAGGCTTGTTTGTCACCAATGAATTGAGTAAGAACTGTCTTGTCAGAAAAAACAATGAGTGGTGCAATAGTTGCACCCTCCGGCAGCCGTTCCTATAAATGAAATGGTTAGAGTGTAGATCAAAGTAATAATGTATTCATCATACCTGCATTTCCCACCACCATTCAGCCGTCCACATCTCATTAATGATCTCCTTTGTCATCTCCTCATCTCCATACAACTTCTCAGGGGTGTATTTCATATAGTCTCGGAACATCGGATTTCCAATTAATTCTTTCACGACTTCAACAGGATCATGGGCCCATACCATCACTTCCTCTGTTAGCAGCTCTCCGTTGTAGTCCTTTTTGTCGCCTGTCACTGTGAATGAGAATGATTGCCAGCTGCTTCCCTGTGGCAGTTCATCTATTTTCTTGAGTAAACTTCGTTTGTCCTTGTAGCTTGGAGAAGTACGATTTCGAGTCTAACCAAAAATAAACAATAAATAGAATACATGGAGTTCTGACACATACGATGTTCAACTTGAGATATTTATCCATTTGCGTCTGACTTGTCCCAGATTTGAACAGCCACTCTGCTAACTCCCATTCCTCCCTATCATTGAAAGGTCCCATCATCCCCATTTGGCCAACTTCTTGAAGGTGGCACAGCTTGTCGAACATAGTTTGTGCTTGGCCATATGTAGATCCAGCTGGCTGAGGAAAAGGAAGTCGGATTAGATCTTCCTCATCCGGGACTTCTTCAACATGGACTCGCTTGTGTGGAGACTGCGGAACATTCGAAAGTGGAGACTTCAACCGGTCCTGGCGAAATTGAGCTTCGGCAGTGTCAAGATCTTGCTGCATTGCGTCATCAGGTGGAAGTTCCCATCCTTTGGGAGGATCATCTTCAAAAATATCTTGAGGTGCACTGGCATCCATTCGCATGTGTTTGAGTGATCTTGTCTTTTGAATCTTCTCCTCATAGGCAACTTCACATT